TTATAGATAGATAGATAGATAGATAGATATGAAGAGGCTGAGATATTACAAATTCATAAAATTTGCTCGAGAAGCTCAGCGTCTGTTCATCTACGTCAACTAACCTCCGCTATTTACTCCGGCTCAATCACGTGATCAAAATCCCTCCCGTCTACAAGATGGAATTGCCTACTATCGCTCCAGAGTGAAGCACCCTGTTGTGATTAATTAAAGAGGGGTTTTTTTTTACATGTAAACGAGGCTGAGTCTGCTGCGTTCATTCCGCACTAATGCTCTTGGAAAGTGCATGATTCCATCTATCTACAGTTACGGCTTAAAGAGACTGAAGTGTGTGTGTGGGTCTGTGAGTGTGTGTTTGTTGTGAGGTCTCTGTCTCTTCTTATTGACAGAAGAAGAGTTGCAGTGCATGTGTTGCTCCTACTACCCTAAACAAAATAGATAAATATGAACTGATAGATAGATAGATAGATATGAGCAAAGTGAGATAGATAGATATGAATACAATAAGATAGATAGATAGATAGATAGATAGATAGATAGATAGATAGATGAGCAAAGTGAGATAGATAGATATGAATAGAATAAAATAGTGTTATACTACCTATTCTTTGGTAATGGACTCTCCCATAGATAATAAGTAGGAGTAGCAGTGGCAAGTCTGGCAGAATGGTGTTGAGCGCGTCAGTCGAGATTCGGACATTTGAAGTACCAACCGTCACAACTAGATTTGCTGCGCCATTGACTCTTATTTTCCAAGTTCCTAACGTTTTGTACATCGGACCTAATTTAGGACGACTTATTAGAAATACAAGCCTCCACTGTGAAAATACTCCACAACAGATAGATAGATAGATAGATAGATAGATAGATAGATAGATAGATATGAGCAAAGTGAGATAGATAGATAGATATGAACAGAATAAGATAGATAGATAGATAGATAGATAGATAGATAGATAGATAGATAGATAGATAGATATGAGCAAAGTGAGATAGATAGATATGAATAGAATAAGATAGATAGATAGATAGATAGATAGATATGAGCAAAGTGAGATAGATAGATATGAATAGAATAAGATAGATAGATAGATAGATAGATAGATAGATAGATAGATAGATATGAGCAAAGTGAGATAGATATATAGATATGAATAGAATAAGATAGATAGATAGAAACAGAATGAGATAGATACGAGCAAAGTGAGGTAGATAGATGAACAGAATGAGATAGATAGATAGATAGATAGATAGATAGATAGATAATGAATAGTGAGATAGTATGGCAAGGCTTGCCGTGGTTTGTAGCCAATCTAGGAGAAGAACATCATTATATTCAAAACCGGTTGGGCATAGAGCTAGCAATTCCATCCCGTAAAACCTACTATTTGCTATGGAAGCCGTAGCAGTATTGCCTGTCGTGCTGAGAGCTTTGACCCCATACTCCTCAGGGAGTTGAGTGAACGAGTGTTATCTTAATGTATGTCGTGCTTGTTTCGAGATAAAGACTCTGAAACGTTCCTCTATCTCTTTTCGGCATCATCAATTCACTCTCATAAATCCTTTTTGCACATGAACTTTCTATTAAAGGTCCGATTATTCTGATTAGATTAATTGCCAAGTTGGGACTGAAGGGAGCTTTTTTGAGTCTTATATGGCATAGTGAGAGTTATACGTCTTAAATTGTAATTATATCATGTTATTAACACTGTTTAAATGCCGTTTAGTATAGCAGTTTCATTTAACATTGCTTCAGTACAAAAAACTGTCTATTTAACACTGCTGTGTATTTAGCGATACTTTTATTAAAATGATGTGCACCCTTACAAGACCAAAGAGCCACTCGAGGTAGGACGTTTCAGAGTAAGGGGCACCGCCACCAAGCAAGATGATAGAGCCACCAAGACACAAGGGACAAACGGAAGTGAAAGAGAAAGAAAAGATTTTAGAAGGAATCGGAAGCTCAATACTAAACGGGAAACAAGGGATAAACTTCTACTCTTATTCAAAAGTCCGGGAGGAGTATGAACCGGACGATAGGCGAACCTATCTACTACTATTGAGAAAAAAAAGTAAGTAAATAGTAAACAGAGGTTCGAAGTTTTAGGCGGAGATGTTAGATGTATAGAGTTGAAGTTGATTTTAGACGGAACCGGAAACAAACTCCTAAACAAAAAACAGAGGATAAGCCTCTACTCCTGTTCAAAAGACCAGGAGAAGAGTGTGAACTAGACGACAGGTGATACTATCTACTTATATTGAGGGAAAAAATAGTAAATGTCTTACTTAGCACTTGTGTCAGTGGAAGGACAAAGGTGAGATATTTTGAACTAGTGATAGAAGAAGAAGAAGAAGAAGAGGAGGAGGAGGAGGAGAAGAAGAAGCGGAGGGGGAGGAGAAGGAAAAGAGAAGAATAAACGGAAGTAAAAGAAGAAGAAGAGGAGGAGGAGAAGAAGAAGGGGAGGAGGAGAAGGAAAAAGAAGCAGAAACGGAAGTAAAAAAAGAAGAAGAGGGGAGAAGGAGGAGGAGGAGGAGAAGGAAAAGAGAAGAAGAAACGGAAGAAGATAAGAAGGAGGAGGAGGAGGAGAAGAAGAAGAAGGGGAGGGGAGGAGAAGGAAAAGAGAAGAAGAAACGGAAGAAGAAGAAGAGGGGGAGAAGAAGAAGGAGGGGAGGAGAAGGAAAAAAGAAGAAGAAACGGAAGTAAAAAAGAAGAAGAAAAGGGGAGGAGGAGAAGGAAAGAGAAGAAGAAACGGAAGAAGAAGAAGAGGAGGAGGAGGAGAAGAAGAAGAAGGGAGGGGAGGAGAAGGAAAAGAGAAGAAGAAACGGAAGAAGAAGAAGAGGGGAGAAGAAGAAGGAGGGGAGGAGAAGAGAAGAAGAAACGGAAGTAAAAAGAAGAAGAAGAAAGGGGGAGGAGGAGAAGGAAAAAGAAGAAGAAGAAGAGGAGGAGGAGAAAAAGAAGGGGAGGGGAGAGAAGAGAGAAGAGAAGAAGAAACGGAAGTAAAAGAAGAAGAAGGAGAGGGGAGGAGGAGGAGGAGAAGGGAAGGAAAAGAAGAAGAAGAAGAAGAAGAAGAAGAAGAAGAAGAAGAAGAAGAAGAAAGAGTTGGACAGGAGGAATTTTGAAAAAGCATATCTGGATATTTCTAGTAATCGTTTCTGACTCTGTTTGACCGAATGGTCAGGTAATGTGGAAAATTTCATTGGAGAAGTTCTCTTAAAGCCTAAATTTTGGTCAGATTATTCAGGCTATCTGGAGATGAATGATAATACTGGCACATCAAAAATGAAGGGACTTGAATAAATAAAGTCAAGTACGGAATTTAAAAAAATTTAATTAAATTAGAAAACAATATAAGAAAACTTCTCTGCCCACACCTCCACTTGAACTTCAACAACGTTACCCGACCATTCGGCGGAAAGGAATCAGAAACGATCACTAAAAGCATGACCTATCCCGAAATGCTTTGTACAAATTCCTCCTTCCAAACCCTTACATTTTTTTTTATCTCTCTTCTTCCTCTATCACCTTTGGAAAGAGTTTGAAAACCCTACCACGCGTTGACCCAAACCTTGTGAGTGAAATTGAGTGGACGGAGTGGATGGATGTTGAGCCTAATGAAGTTCAGACTGTTGATCTTGTCAGATAATGACCTCTCTCTCCCAGAAACTAAGGTCTGTTCAGCATAGTTGCAGTATAAACCACGTTTGGGTGTTGAACAAACAGAAACGTGCCTGACCAGCCGCCTGCTAAAGGGATTGCTGATAGTTACATATGGTTCAAAGACAGTTCTATCTCCGCCTACGACCAGAGCAGGATATTCCATCGTCGCTTCACCTGTGCTCGATTGATAAAACAGACGCTGCGCGACCACCAGCTGAATAACATCAAATGAATAATAAGCCGGGCACATATACATGGTCTCTCGAGACCAACGCAGACCCCACACATACGCACACGCCTACTCACACACATACATACAAAGATTCACACAAACACGAAATTATTTTTTTCTCCTCTCTTTTTTGTCATCACTGTCAGTCTTCTGTTCATTTCTTGTTCTTTTTTGCTTGTTGTTATTTTTTTTTTAAATTTTATTTCTTGTTTACTCTTTTCATTCACCCTTACATATCTAACTCTTTCTCATTCTTTTCGTTGTTCTACTTCAGACACTTCTTCCTATTTTCTTTCTTATTGGAAAAAAATCTCACTGTGTGCCTCTCACTCAATTAAGTCTCTTTCATTCGTTTATCACTCCTTTGTGCTTTCCTTTCGCCTCTTTTTTCCATTTTATTCTCTTTGTTTTCTTTTTCACCGCTTCCTCTTTCACATCTTTTCTCTCTTTATCTTTTTTTATTATTTTTTTCTGTCTTCCTTTTCTTATTTTTTTCTTTATATTTCTAACATCGCTCTATTTCCCTTCCCTGCATTCTTTTCGCCTTCCTTTCTTTCTTTTCTTTCTTTTTTCTTTCTTTTCTGCCTTTTTACTTTTTCTATCATTCCTTCCTTTCTTTCTTTTTCTTCTTTCTTTCTTCCTATATTTTCTATTTCTTTTTCTTTCTTTCTTTTCTTTTTACTTTATTCTTTCTTTTTCTCTTTCTTTATTTCTTTTTCTTTTTTCTTTCTTCCCTTTCTTATCTATTTTCTTCCTTTACTTCTTTCCTTTTCTATTTCTTTCTCTTCTTTTACTTTTACTTTCTTCCTATATCTTTCTTTTCTTTTTTCTTTCTTTCCATCTTTTTCTTTATCTTTCTTTTTCTTTTTTCTTTATTTCCTTTTTCTTTCTTTACGGATACTTACAGGTAGTTACTACCTATAATGCAGTCATACATGGGGTTATTCCCTTGCATCACCAATCCTAAACAGGAAACAAGGAATAAACCTCTAGTCCTTTTCAAAAGACCGGGTAGGAGTGTAAACCGGAAGACAGGCGAACCTATCTACTCCTAATAGAATTGTTCGGTAGTTATGGTGAGAGAGTAACTGCAAATATTGTACACATTAAAATTATACTCTTACCACCTTACTCACAACTCAGTCCAAAAATAAATAAAAAATACTAATACCGGGAAACTGAGGACAAGGGAAATCGAGGAATATTAGTAGACCGCTAAGATGCTGTGTGATTGGTCTGTGCTTTGTCATTACTCCAGCACAAGAGAAAATTAAGTAAAAATTCATCGGTGTGGCACTAAAAGGATGTAAGTGCATTTTTGTTGAAATGTAAAAAACACTAATCATTCCGTTCTAGCATAAAACAATTTTTTAATTTTTCAGTCATAACTTCACAAACAGGGTTTGCTTCTGTATATTGTTTGTATTATTCTTATAGAGACCAGTTAACTCATTTCAAAAATCGAAAAAAAAAAAAACTCAGGAAAGCGTATTTAGAACATAATACCTAAGAAAAGTCCTTGCATGGAATACTACTACCATATATGGTCTGATGTTCCCGCAGTTCATCTCGAGGTCCTCGACAAAATCCAGAGACGGATATGCAACGTGATTGGTCCAGATCTGGCGTCCCGTCACCAGTCGCTATCTCACAGACGTGTTGTGGCTTCCCTCTGTCTTTTCTACAAGTACTTTCATGGCAACTGCTCCGACGAGCTACTTTCACTGGTTTCCAAATTGCATGAATTTAAGAGTGTTACTCGGTTGGCATCTCGGTCCCACCCTTTCACTGTCGTAACTGCTAAATGTAGCCATCTCTTCTACTCCAACAGCTTCTTATCTGGCACTTCCCGACAGTGGAACTCCCTTCCTATCACTTGCTTCCCTGATAGCTATAACTGTCAAATATTCAAATGTAATGTCAATCGACATCTTCTGATGCCTTGACCTTGATCCCCGTCCTTCCCTTTATCCTTTTCCCAAACACTCCTCTTTACTCTTACTCTCAATCCTCTGTAGCCCCTTGCGTGCTAGTGGCACTCCCGCCTTGCTTGGGGTGATTTCCTTAAAATAAATAAATAATAGTTTGACAAAGTGAATTCTAAGAGCAAGCTACAAACTCAAAAATTCGATGTACCAATGTGTAACATGTCAGAGGAGAACGCTAATTCTAACTTGAAAGGTTCCTGTAATCCAATGAGTTACGGACCCTTTGATCTGGGCTAAGACCTGTCTTAGTATGAAAAAAGATACTCAAAACTTATGACATTGCAAACAAAATTAATTCTTTGACAATAAATTATGTTTGTGACTATCATAAATTCTAACACTTTACTGTGACATTTCGATACACTGAACTGTTTCTCTTCAATACATGAACTGTTACACTTCTGTACACTGAACTGTTACACTGAACTATTACTCTTCGGCACATTAAACTGTAGACTGAATTTTTACATTTCAGTACAGTGAATTTTTACACTTCGATATATTGTACTGTTACACTGAATTATTTCACTTCGGTACAGTCATCTGCTGAACTTCAGTTCACTGAATTGGCAAGTTTGTTTTTGTCATTTCGGCAAGTATATATATATATATATATATATATATATATATATATATATATATATATATATATATACGCAAAAAAGACGTAATGCTTTATCTCTTTTGCACACACAGAAATACACACGCACACAATCACACACAATCACACACACACACAATCACACAAACGCACATATCAAGAGAGAGAAAGATAGAATGAACGCAGTAAAGAAAGAAAAAATGGAAGAACGAAAGAATAAAATAATGAAATGCAGGCAGAAAGAAAAAGAAAGAAAGAAAGTAAGAAAGTAAGAAAGAAAGGGAAATAAAGAATGGATTAAAGAAAGAAGGAAAGAAAGAAGGAAAGAATGAAATGAAGAAAGAAAAAAAGAAAATGTGAGATAAAGAATGACTGAATAAAAGTAAGATGGAAAGAATGAAATGAGAGAAAGAACAAAAGAAAGAATGAATGAATGAAAGAAAGAGAAAGAAGGAAAGACTGAAAGAAATATTGAAAGAAAGAAAGAAAAAACATGGATGTAAAATAATTTCAAGGATTGTCTATGTTAGACGTTTCTTATCAAAGTGACACTTGTGTTTGCAATGAGACAGAAATGCAAAATCTTGTGTCAAAAATCTTGAAACTTTTAGAGTTTCGTGTTTTTATTTTGATGTTAAATTGTTAGCAAATAAACATCCCAAATATGCAAGTACGTCTAATGGTAAACTTCTGAAACTGTCCGTTTTAATTTCGCTTCTTTCGTCGTGATGTCATAGTCAGGAAGTTAGTCTGGTAAAAGAAACATGCTTCCCAGAAATGTTATAATTTTATTCAAAGCTTAGAATATTTCTATAAAAAAATACTTCCAGCTCTCCCACCATAAACAAGCATAAGCAACTTCGCTTCGTAGACCATGATCCGCACCGGGTGACATGCTGCACTAGCATAATACCAGAATCAGTTAGTTAAGTGCCATATGTGATACACGCTTGGGCGATCATGTCTCTTTCGATTCATGACTGACTGAGAAGAAGATATTCCCACAGTAGGCTGCCGTTTCTTTCTTCAGTAGACTGGTTGCCAACCAAGGCTCATAGTTACAAAGTCCGTTCTGCTATTCAAACCAAGGATATTTGCACGTAAATGAATATAACGGTCCCGACTGAAATTCGAACTCGGCTCTCCGATGTCAACTGTCTAAGGCTGTTAATGTTCGAGACCGGGAGAAATTATTTTTTTATGATTTTCTAGAAAGGCGTGTTCTTCTTAGAAGGCTCAGTGGCGCAATAAAGATTGAGATACTAAGCCAGACTTAATGGTTAAAATTGGGCGCTCATCAGAAAGCCCTTCATAAATTGAAATTCAGAACAAAATGTTATCCTTAATAATTAATCTGGCGGGCCTACATGAGGCGACAGCTTCTTCTATAGCGAGCAAAAACCCACTCCACGACAAAAAGACATCACCTCCCTATCACATGCTTATAGACTCAAATATAAACGGCCAACTTTACAATCAGTCAGTTAATTGCTATACGTGATACACGCTTGGGCGATTATGTCTCTTTCGATTCATGACTGACTAGGAAGGAGATATTCCCGCAGTAGGCTGCCGATTCTTTCTGCGGTAGACTGGCTGCCAACCAGTCTCATAGTTGGAAGGAGGAAGAGATGGATTCATGTATTTCCCAAGAGTATTTGAGCGTAAGTGAGTGTAACGAACCAGACTGGAATCCGAACTCGCCTCTCCGATTTCTACTTCCGAGACTTTATCCACTATATCACACACACACACACACACACACACACACACACACACACACACACACACACACACTTCACAAACACACACAAATACACTAACAAACACACACACTTACAAACACACACTCACAAACACACACACTCACACACACACTCTCACACACACAAACACACTCACAAACACACACACTCACAAACACACACTCACAAACACACACACTCACACACACACTCTCTCTCACACACACACACACAGAATGATGATTTTTCAGGACAAATTGACTTTGATTAATTGATAAACTGAACCTACACAATCTTCATACTAATATTTCTACATATCTTAGCCTCTACTTCATGTTCTAATAATCTTCACCTCCTACTTTCTACTCTCATATCTTACACACCTCTACCTTGACTGACTCTTGAGCTCTGTGTCGGTTAAACACTACTAAAAAATGACAGTGAACCCAACAAGCACGGAATGTAAATATTCTTAGCAATGGTGTGAATCCATCTCTTCTCCCCTCAGAGAGTAAACGCTTTCTCCCCCTGTGTCAGAATGTGCAACTTGCACTTTCAGGGTTCCGTTCCAGTTACACATGTGGACCAGGTTATTCAGGAGAAACGGGTTTTCTATCGAGTCACCAACTCTAGAACAGTTGCCAATCAAGGCAAGAAAATTAAGACTGTCTTGTTATTTAAGCCACAGCTGGAGGAGAGAGAGATGGATTCCTACCTTTCCCAAGATTAATTACGCGTAAGTGAATACAACGAACTCTGCTGGAATTCGAACCCGGCTCTCCGAGTTGCAATTCCGAGCCACACATACTCACCTCAGTTATCGGGTGGCGTGGCTGTAAACCTGTACTCTAAAGAAAAAAATAAATAAAAATAAACGTACAAAAACTAAGCATAAACAGTAAAACTGAAAAAGTGCATTGAGGTTAAATAAGGGACCGCGACTAAAATTTATTACTAAAAAAAAAAAAAAAAAAAATTTTTTCTGCTTGATACTTACTAAGAGCTTAGTTACATCGATTTATTGTTTTCTTTCTTTCTTTTTTTAAGTAATAAATTTATTTTAGTCGTAGCTCCGTATTTAGATTGCCCCCCCCCCATACTGGCCACTTTTTCAGTTTTGCTTTTTATGATTTTTTGTATGTTTATGGATTTTGCAAACGAATTTTTCTGAAGAATTGTTAGACGAAAAAGTTTACTTTAAAAAAAAAAAAAGAAAGCACTCCTTCAATTTTAAAATAAATTCTGTAGAAACAAATTTTTGTTTTATTCATATATATATATATATATACATTTTAAATTAAAACAGACCACTTTAAGGTTCCATGTAATAAATTATTTCACCACAGCCCTTTTAAAGGACTGCGGATCATCAGACTTTACTTCCAAACAAAAAATGAAAAGAAAATTTACACATTTTTGACGTTTAAATGTGTCAATATCTGCTAACTTACTCATGTCTTCTCTCTCCCCCCACCCTCACTTCCTCACTTCGTTAATTTACATATGTTTAATACGGCCCGTCAAAAATGTGTAAATTTTTTGTTTGGACTTAAAAATTAAGTGAATCAATTTCAAAAAGTTATTCTTAGCATCGCTTGATAATGGAACGGAACTTTGCATTTTAAATTTAATTTGTATGATTGAATTTAAATTGTGCGTTCAGCTTTGGAAAGTGGGAATTTCGGTGTTGCGATGATTATGTATTTTTAAAGAAAACAATGATATATATATATATATATATATATATATATATATATATATATATATATATATATATATACAACGGATGAAACGCATCATGAGTAAACTTTTTCCATTTTGCCTTAAAATATAAATATATATAAATAAACGCATGAGCAAGAAGTAAGAATTTTTTACAAATCTCATTTATTTTCAGAATTATTTTTGGGAAATATATATATATATATTTACCAAATTTACACAAAGATATCTTTAAATATGAAAGGGTAAATTTATTCAATAAAATCGCCATTAGACCACTGCGGAATCTCCTGCAACTCTTCTGAATTGTCTCCTTATTTAAGTTGCTGAACGCTGCCATAACCTTTGCGTTCACTTCATCTTTGCTGTTACAAGGATTTTTGTCGGTCTCTTCCTTAACTACTCCCCACACATAATAATCAAGGGGGTTGTAATCTGTGGAGTTAGATTGCCAGATATAAGTGGTGATTTGGTAGCAGAAATTGTGTGACAGTCATGATTGGGTTCGCCTGATAGTGTGGCATGGTGCAGAGTCCTGTTGCCAGACATAGTAACTTCCAGCAGCAAACTACTTGATACAGTGCAACACTACCTCTTAAAGGCACTTGATGTAGGCCTCTGTGTTGAGTCTGAGGCCCTCACCAACAAATTCAAGTGTTCTTTACTTATCAGAACGATCAAAGTGAGTTTTCCGAGCTGCCGATGTATGATATATATATATATATATATATATATATATATATATATATATATACAATATATTAGCATTGTTAAATCATTATTCAAACTTATATTGTTTGAATATAAGTTTGAATAATGATCTTTGAATATATATATATATATATATATATATATATATATATATATATATATATATAGAGAGAGAGAGAGAGAGAGAAAGATTAACAGAGAACTTGAGCTAGTTACTTAGATGCAGAAAGAAAAGGAATACATATACACATACATATAAGCACTATCGTCTATGGCAATGCAAACTGACCAGAAAATGGCTAAGAGTAAAGCATCATGTGATCTCAAGGTTTCTTTTATAGGCGACCCCAGTATTATTTTACATGTCAACAATAATTAAAATGGTCTTATAAACATTTGGCAATAATCTTATATGATTTATTTATTATATATATATATATATATATATATATATATATATAAACTTCTTATATTTATTGATTTACTCAACTATATATATATATATATATATATATATATATATATATATATATATATATATATATATGAAATGGACAAAGTCCGACAATTGTTTTAAGACATTTTTTATGTTTATACGTTCTTATTATAAACATAAAAAAATGTCTGAAAATAATTGTCGGACTTTGTCCATTTCATAATGTGTGACGTCATTTGTTTACATATGGATACGCATCGAGCAGATATGAATGTACGAGAGAAAATCCTGTAGAATTATAATTTAAAAACAGTAAAAATTCGACGTTGCTAACCGAAACGCTCTTCTATGGCCCAATCGATAAAAGTACGTAAGGCTAATTGACAGTTCTGTATAGGATACTGGTTCGATTATATTTTCTATGAAAATTACTCGGACATTCGGGCCGGTGAATGTAGTTAATACTGTTTATTATAAACAGAGCATTTAGTTAAATATTTGTATCTACAAAAAGTATAAACATAAAAACATAAAATATATATATATATATATATATATATATATATATATATATATATATATAGAGAGAGAGAGAGAGAGATGTGTATGCGTGCTTAAAATTACCCTGCCAAGAATATTCCCAACAACACACAGAAAGGATATACCTCTAGGGATGTCACATTCATTTTATTGACTTTTGCTTATAAAGATGGACAACAGAAGCACCCTTAAACTCTTGAGCAACTGACCCTGACTCCCATATTAAAGAAAAGATGTCACAAAGTTTACAAACCAGGCGATTGCTGCCACATTTTTATATCTCTGCTGGTATGCCATCGTTAGTAGAGAACTTCACGTTTTTCAGTTGTTTTATGACACATTTTATCTCAGCAATAAATGGAGTCGGTGGTAGTCCTTCAAGAATAGACATCTGTGGTAATTTGTTGATAGGATTCATGTGGATAACGCACGTCAGTACAGACGTAAAAGAGGTCTCGGATCGTAGGCGGACATTTTTGGCAACACCAGTACATCCGGGTTTTCCCGTTAGCAGCGGACATGTCAAGCTAGATAGGGGCCACTCTGTGACTGGTCAAAATTCGTGTGTTTGTAAGATGCCTCATGCCAATAAAAGATGGGGGGAAAACAGCAGTTTGTAGTTGGCAAAATCTTTTTAAAATGTCGGTCACATGGGCATTTTGGTCCTCAACTTGTGTTATTTTTTTTATTACCTCCTCTCTCTCTCTCCCTATTATCCCTGTAGTTGTTGGGAGAGCAATCGGTTTGATGTTTTCTCCCACCCCAATCTCGACAGACTCTTTGCTTACATTGCAAAAATTCGCATGAAAATTCAGCTCCATTTTTAGAACATTAGAGAAATGTGCTGTCCAGCGTTTAGTGAGCAATTTTTTTTTTCTTTAGGAAGATTACGCTCGGAATAAAAGATAGGATTCGAGCCATTTGCAACAAGTCCAAAAGATCCCAACTCTTTAAATTCTGAGAGAAAGATTTAAACTCACATCTAACAGAAGCATTCTGCAATTCTTGTGCCATTTTGTTTGTTTCCTTTACCGTAAATAAAATAGACACAGGTTTCTGGTTTTCTTGAACACGTTACGATTAATGTCATTGACAATGACACTTGTGGATTCAAATGAAAAATTCTTGGAATATTTGAATCATATATATATATATATATATATATATATATATATATATATATATATATATCAACTATTTATCAAATGATATATATATATATCAATTATTTATCAAATAAATTAAATAAAATATATATATATTAGGTTGGTACCAAAAAATAATGACGTAATAATGTCGTTTTTTTGACGTTAAAAAATACGTCAAAAAACGATATTATTACGTCATTATTTTTGCACCAACCTAATATAACACACACACACACACACACATATATACACACATTTTTTATATTTATACGTTCTTTGTATAGATACAAATATTTAACTAAATGCTCTGTTTATAATAAACAGTATTAACATTTACCGGCCTGAATGTCCGAGAAATTTTCATAGAAAATGTGTGTCCTCCGACAGGATTCGAACCTGTATCCTATACAGAACCGTCATATAGCCTGACGTGCCTTTAACCGATTGGGCCACAGAGGAGCTTTTTTCTCAGAGTCTTTTCACCCGTTGGATCCAGTGAAAAGGTGTCCAACGCATTCATTGTCTTTAATGTAACAAAAAAAAAAAAAGATTGTATACCTGTATCTCTCTTGTATTTTTTGTCATGCTAGAAACAGAATTTGAGAATGTGGGACTTAAGTTTATGACAAGTTATGGCTTGTTCAACTAACAACGCTTCAAAACAATAACTAAAACCATTGTGCAAAATATTCGTGACCTACTCTTTGCAGACGATTGTGCACACTCCTGCGAATATGCAATGTCTCATTAACAGTTTCTCTCGACCATCTAAAGCATTCGGTCTGACCACCAGCATTAACAGAACATGTCTATCAACCTATCCGTAACCACCCACTAGTTGATGATTCCAGTGTTTATGTTGAGAGCAAAACCATGAAATTCGTTTCCTCTCTAGTCTGTCTTGGCTCCATTGTGTCCAACGATGATAAGATAGACAAATAAATTCAGTGCAGGATTGGAAAAATTATTTCTGCCTTCTGTCTTTGGAATACTTGTCTCGTTAAAGGTGAAAATTTGTGTGTACCAGTCATTAGTACTGACATCACTACTCTATAGGGCAAACTCTTGGACTCAATATCGACAACAAATCAATCAACTCGATGCTTTCCATATTTGTGACTTACGGGCCATTCCTCGGTAACTTCTATGTTAACTTATATAAGCTTAATACTGCCCGTCAAAAGTGTAAATTTGAATTTCATTTTTCGTTTTACCTTTTGAAAGTGACGTCTGAGGATCCAAGGAAAATTAAAAGTCTCTGGTGAAATAAACTATTACAATGGAGTCTTAAAGTGGTCTGTTTTTCTTTAAATTATTAGCTCTGAATTAACATTGAGCTCTCAGGATTTCATCCTCCTTGGGATTATCCATACGGGGTTACCAAGATTTTCGTTACTTATATATATATATATATATATATATATATATATATATATATATATATATATAGTGCGTGTGTATTTAGGCAGCAATCCCTCTTTTATACATGTTTAATTAAAGACGACACCCAAGCACACACACAAACCTACTAAACTTCATCAGGAACATTCCAGTAGAAAATAGAAGCATAATGACCTTATCCACATGTAAAAAATGATTAAAAATAATGGAAGCCTTAATGATTAAATATAGAAAGCCAACACTCAGTAATATTAACTACGAACACGGCTACAATGTGCTGACTGTGTTCGGAAAATAAAACAGCCCTATAACTCTAGATACTCAAACACAACCCATACATCCAGTTAAAAAGTAAAAATAAAATCATCCTTGATAATGGCTAAAAGTATAGCCGAAAGCGCTCGGGATTACAGAACATTTGGACAGTTTCTACATAGTCCTGTCCAGAGAAGAAAACACTTGTACGAACAGAAGAAAAATTAAATAAAAAGCTTAATCGCAGTACCTTGTCTGTCGTCTATAATGATATATATATATATATATATATATATATATATATATATATATATATAGTATTAAAGACGACAGATAACGTACTGCGATTAATTTTTTTATTTAATTAGATTTAATTTATTTAAATATATATATATATATATATATATATATATATATATATATATATATAGATATTGTGTTAATCAAATATCTTTTATGAGCTTTAATTTATGAATATGTTTAGAAATAATAAATCATTTTCATTAGTTTATTTTCATAATAAACTTAAAACTGATTCATACTAAACAAGATCTTATCAATATTTATTTAATATGAAAAGCTAATATAACATGATACTCACACGATCTGTTGTATGCATAGATATCTGTATATCTTGACGATTTAGGCAACTTCGGTTCGTTTGAAAGCAGTTTTATTACGAAAACATTAACTTACGCGATATAATTTGACATAATGTAGTTCTTGCCTGTTCTTAGCCGCAGCTGCTTCTCAGAAACAGAAAATGGCTCAATTTTATCTTCTTTTTTCTTTTTAATTATTTCACCTCAAGCAAGGCGATAATGCCACTAAGACGCTACTGCGAATGAAAGCGAATTAGAATGCTTTAATGAGGAGAAAGGGTAATAAAAGAACAGGTTCCAGGAATAATGAAGATGACGATTGAGGATGTATTTAAATTTCTGAAGATCATAGGTGGAAGCGAAGCAAGATGCTGGAAGAGAGTTCCACAGGCAAGAATTGCAAGAAAAGAAACTATTGAAATAGAACCTGCGGCTAGGTATAGTAAAACGACGAGACCTAATTGCCATTCTAGGAATACACTTAAATTCACCCGGCCGGGTTACCAGTAATAAAAGCACAGAACAACTGCAATGTAAATATTTGTAGAAAGTACAGAGGAAAAACACGTCACTGTAATTTTTTTTTGTTTGTTTTTGCGGCATATCAACCTCAATGGGTTATTTAATGCCGACAAAATTTTTATTGCTGGTAATATTTTTTTTCAAAAATCTTTTGCTGGTAATAATGTAAGGCTGGTAATAATTTTTTCTTCAAAAATCCATTACAGGTAATATTTTTTTTTTTTACAAAAATGTATTGCTGGTATTAAAACCTATTTTTACACTATCATAGTGTTTTGACCCCAGTTTGTGTGTCAACTATTTTCCCATAGCTGCTACTAACTCGGGTCAGGATGGACCTGGGAATACTAGCAATCGAGAGGTGGTTCCACACTACTCAAAACCTGATCAGAGGCCTTGCTGTTGGACGCGGTTCATTGTCTTGCCCAGGACGCGGATGTAGTTTATCGTCTTATCCAGGACGCGGATGTATATTAATATATAATATTACAAACTTTTTGGATTTTATTGAGACTCTCGAGAGATATATTAAGATCACCAGACCAAATATAGCAGCAATATTCAATGCATGGTCGAATGGTGGACTTTTAAACGTTCAAGAAGTGTTCTGGTGAGAAGAATTGTCTGGTACGACACAGGGAGCCAACTTTTCAAGCGGCAAAACTGACAATAAACATTATAAATCTGTCTTTTACTCGATCATTTGCAATTACAGTATTCTGAATTGTGTATACGTTACACTTGTCTGTGGTGCCTATCATTTCGAAAGACCGAAACCTTCTTCTCTGATCTCGACTTCAACCGTGCCATCTTTGAACAAACGAGACGAACAACTCTTGACATTCGCCAAATCTTCAGATGTCATACCTTCTCCTATTTTCTTTCATTCGCTCTCGACATCAGCGGCGGATGTTTACGGTATGGCAGTAGAAGCCGAATCAGCTTGACAATAACATGAGTGACATTCTGGCAAAATGTCGACTGACTTTTAATCCTTTCCCGTCAATTATTGTTGGAAAAAGGTTTCATTTTCAGACCAATTTTTTTTTCATTTGTTTTTAATATAATAACTAAGAAAGAGGAGGTATGGATAGCGGCTCGGGTTGAGGAATCGGAGAGCCGAGTTCAAATTCCAGTCGAATCCGTTACTGTGCTAATACTCTTGGTTTAGGTATGAATCCACTTCTCCCCCCCGCCCCAGTTATGGGTAAATAGCTGGACAGACTGGGTTCTAATATAGCCTTGGATGGCAACTGGTCTACCGCAAAAAGAAATGGTAAACTACTGCGGGAAAAAATTTGCCTCGTCAGTCATGTATTGAAAGATACATGATCGCCTAAGCGTGTATCACACATCGCGTATAACTGATTGAACTAAGTAAATTGAAGTAACCGTATGGTGGCTAACAACTAATGGATAAGTTGATAATTGGACTCGTTTCAAGCTCAGAAAGGGCATAAGAAGAATCAAGATCGACTTTTAAAGACGTTTCTAGCGGTTTTTGAACATTTTGGCTTTTGGAAGTGTTTAAAAAACATTTTCGGTAAAACACTTTAAAAACGGGAAAGGGCTTAAGTGGATAAGGAACAGTGGGGGGTGGTCACTGAATTTCTCCATCTAAAAAAAAATTGAGCATACTGATATTCATTGAAGTTTGTTGAATATTTACGGAGACCAAACAATGGATGTAAGCACATACATAAGGTGGGACCACTGTATTTATAAGTTACAAAATATGCTGGAGAAACTCAAGAACACCTCCATGAATTAGTTTTGATTAATTTTTGTTTGTCTTGATTTGAAATAAATAATAAAAGTTATAAGTATTACCTATTTACTATTTAATACCTTTCAAGTTCTATTTTAGCGGGGATATTTCCAAACGGAGATAACTGTTCCGTTATTCATTTAATGTGTTAAAATTACGTCAAGTCAATCT